ATGTCAGCTTTGAACTGGGATCCTCAGATCTCAGCTTCCTGAGTAGCTAGAATGAAAGGCGTGAGCCACCAGCACTAGCTGCTTGCTCCATTTTAAATAAACAGAAACTGGAAATGACTGGAAGACATTGTTTTGGAATAATTAATGATTACCATAGCATGATATATTGATGATTAGTACAGGTTTTAATATCTCAGTGACTCCAAGTCAGTGGTCACAAATCTACATTAGGCATCCAGCCCAGGGTGAATGACATGTTATTGTCATTTGTCCCCAAGATGGTACCCTCATTGTCCTGGACCCCATGTCCACACTGGACATGGGGTGATGAACGTCCGATCTCTTTAGGCTCTTCAAACCACATGGTGGGTCATCCAATGCCCACAACATTCTGGAAGACTCCACACTCCTACCAATAGCAATATTTAATGAATCGGGGAGGGGGCATCGTCTTTTCCTTCTTGCCTGATAAATCAGGCCACGGCTGCCATCGGTAAGGAGTAAATAGCTAATGTACCCAGCATTTTAAATGATCCATTCTTTTCACAGGAAAGTGAGAGAGATCTTATCAGGGAACATTTCTGGGCCCTCTGGCTCTCTGGAAAATTACTGAACTATATTCTGACTATAAAAATCAATCCCTTAAGGTCCCCATGGGCCTGCAGAGTAAACAGTGTGGAAAACGGGAGAGAAGAAATAGGGTGAAGGAGGGCGGGAGAGGTACGGAATAGTTCTTCACACATGTCTACTTGATCTTGAGGGCAGCTGTCTTTCTGGGCGGATATTCCTGTTCCCTGGGTCACCAATGGGAATGCTAAGGCTCTAGGAAGTAAAGTCATGTGTTCAAGGTGGAACTTGGGTGTGCTCACTTAGAGACCCGTGTCCTTTCTTAACTGCGACGGCCTGGGCTGGGTCCCTGTCTCACAGTTCTCTCTCTGGCTGGGAATGGCCAGGCCTTCCTGGCTCACAGAGCTAGACGGGATATGACACCATCTGAAGGTTGCTCAAGACCCAGCTGGGGATTCTGTAGTGGTCCCTCAACTTTGACAACCTGGGAACATTGGAAGAACTAACTCCAGGCCTTGTGGAGGGGTCCTGGGTGTAATACTAGCATGCCCAATGGGTCAGAGGAAAATCACTAGATCCTCTCACGTCCCCAAAGGAGAAGGGAGAGGAGGTGGCAGATGGAGGGGAGCTAGGAGGAGTTGCTCGGGGTGTTTCTGTTTTTGGTGTCTGCTCAGCTGACGACTTTCCAAGCTGAGAAACACACATCCTCAAAACTCTAACCTCTCCTGGCTTAAAATAGAGCTGCTGAACCCAAAACGCCAAACACAGGGCAGAGTCACCTGCCTGGCAGGGCTAGACAGCTCCCCCACCCCCAGTAGGCACACTTGATAAGTACCTCTCATCTATATGTCACAGGATCCTCACAGACCTGGCAGGGGAAGTATAACCTGCTAAGGTGCCTGAGCCATGTCAGAAAGGAGGAAAGTGAGGGTCTTAGAGCCCGTGGGAGGCTGAGCAGCATCCGTGACCTTGGAAACCAGACAGCCCCCAGAGGTCAAGTCCGGCCTCAGTCACAACCCGCCTGTGAGAACTTGACAAGCCAGGGTCTCCTCATGGTCCTGGGTGGTTGTGTACAGTTGCCATGGTGATGCTGTAAAGATCCACAGCACAGACAGGGTTACAGAGCTTTGGTCTTGCCCATGCTTCTGGATCAAGAAGTCCTGATACCTGTGGGCAGACAGATGAGAAGGAAAAAAAAAAGAAAGAAACAGCTACCTAGTTCAGAGCCACCTGGAAAGTGGCTTTTATAATCCTCAGTAGGCTCCAACACTGAACATTAGTATCTTAGAATCATCCTATTTCTCACATGGGGAAACCGAGGCACAGAGAAGTATTCTGTTCATGAACATCCAGCTAGAAAGTAGAAGAGCTGCGATTCAAACCCACATTTCTGATTGTGCTCATGACTAGGCCCTCAGAAATTCTCCCCCAGGTGAGGCCTGCCTTTCCATTAAGACCTAGCTGCTCCATCCACTCCCATGACCCCACAGACTCTGCCCAGGCCCTTCTTGGGCTGAAGATCCAGCTTCACTCCCTTCCCCCTACCTAGAGACTTCGGCCCAGCTTTCTGGCCCTCTGAAAACTGAGACAAATCAGAAAACCAAAGTTGCTGATGTCGTTACTAAAAATAAGGCCAAGGCAGCTGTGCCAGCACCCTTGTGCCAGGGCCCTGCTTCTGAGCCACTGCGCTGCCAGTCTGCTTCTCAGGGGAAGAAGAGGCCCAAGGCCCCCCTCTCTAAGCACTGAGTCCTGATTCTGCCTTACAGCAGAGTCCGACACAGGCCCAGACGACCACTCACTTGTGGTATTTGTGATGCCAGCTACAGCTCCTCCACAAGTCCCTGGGCTCCACATCCACCATCTCACAAATCCTCACAATCACCATCTCCTCCTCCCTATTGCTTCTACCAATGACCACACACAGGGCTGCCTCCCACGAGAGATGCATGACCTTCTGGCTCCATGCATGAGTCTCCCAGGCTCAATAATCAAGATGTATTGACAGGTCAGTGTTCCCTAACTGCTCTGAGGAGTCATCCTGTCCCTTGCCTTCTCCAGAAGCTGCCCACTTACCTTGTCTTGTGGCCCCTTCTCTCTCCTCCACACCAGCAACATCGGGCTGAGTCCTGATCACTCTTCCATCTCTCTGGCTCTCCTCCTTCCAGTGACAAGGACCTTGTGACATCCTTGGTCCTACAGTGGTCAATCAGCCACTTTATGTCATCGGGTTCTCTAGTTCCCTTTGCCATGCAGCCGAATGCATTGACAGGTCCCAGCGATACATGTGGCGTCTTTGGGGGTAGGGCGTTCTTTGGCCACTGCAGTTCCTCGTGATATAAAAAGGTTTTTTAACCTCATTCAACTGATGGGGAAACAGAGACATCCCAAGTTTTGTAATCAGCTAAAGTAGGCTATGAACCCAGGTAGTTGAATGTCATCCGTGCTTTTAACTCCCCTGTGCAGCTGGGCACCAGTGACTCACACCTGTAATCCTAGCTACTCAGGAGGCTGAGATCTGAAGGCTGTGGTTCAAAGCCAGCTTGGGCAGAAAACTCTGTGAGACTCTTATCTCCAATGGACCACCAAAAAGTTGGAAGTGGAGCTGCAGCTCAAGTGGCACATTGCCATCCTTGAGCAAAATAGCTAAGGGACAGAGCCCAGGTCCTCAGTTCAAGACCCATAAAGAAAGAGAAGGATGGGGCTGGGAAGGTGGCTCAGTGGTAGAGCGCTTGCCTTGCATGCCTGAGGCCCTGGGTTCGATTCCTCAGCACCACATAAGCATAAGGAAAAAAGCCGGAAGCGGCGCTGTGGCTCAAGTGGTAGAGCACTAGCCTTGAGCTGAAGAGCTGAGGGACAGCGCCCAGGCCCAGTTCAGGCCCCACGACTGGACCCCCCCCCCAAAAAAAAAAAGAAAGAAAGAGAAGGAGAAGGAGAAAGAAGAGGAGGAGGAGGAGGAGGAAATCATGTAGGATGCTTCACTAGTGCCTGGCCTCTGGTGAGCAATCAGTTTCTGGTTGTTGGATGGGATGCGGAGAGAGACTGTGAGGAGTCAAGCTAGAGTTTATGCAGGGAGCTGATGGCTTAGGCAGGAGCAAGCGAGGGGAAGGAGCTGCAGGGAGAGAAGCTGTAGCAGTCGAGGGAGTTGGGAATGCGTGTCAAGGCTGCAGTAGAGACCCTGGAAGTCTGGGTGCCCAGGCAGCTGAAGGCAAGGCTGCCCGCCGCTCTGCCCGAGCCTCCATGCCAGCACCCCACCCCCTCCAGCATTCTGAAAAGGGCAGCATCCTCTTGATGCTGGGGATAGTAGGTATGGGGCCAATGGAAGACTTCTCCAACACCCAGCTGCTCAGGCCAGACATCGGGGCCACGCTGAGCCATCTCCTTGACCCTCCACAAGCCCTGTTGCTTTATGTGTCTGCATAATACCAGCTTCAGTGGCAGACGAGCCAACTTGGAAATCTCAGGGGGTCAACACAATGGAGGAGAAGTCAAACAGGGTGTTCTTTTGCCCTAGGAGACAGGGGAGACAGGTGGAGTATTATGAGGGCAGGACTTCATGATTGGCACCTGTCACTTCTGCTAGCTTCCATTGGCTGTAGCTTGGTCACCTGAACTCTCCAAGGAGCCCGGGAGACTGGCAGGGCGGGCCAGCAGCATGCAAGCTCCATTTCTTTTCCAGATCCACCTACCCTGTCTTCCAGGGTCAGGGTCTGAGGCCAATCTCCTCAGCATCAATTTGGACCACGCCCACCCTCTAAGCAGCCCCGACTTTCCACCACTTTCCCTTTTCCATTTGGCAGCCTGGCGCACTTAAAAACACCAACAACAAACATCCGATCACTGTGCTATGTGTTTCTCCTACAGCCTTTCCATGGCTTTCCACAGTGCTGAGAAGTAAACCAACCAAGAACCGGTGTCAGATTTCTCTCGGATTCCCTCTGTCCCCCTCTCCACCCTGCACTCCAACGCCCTGGGGGGGTGGGGGGTCCCTGCCACACCGGCTTCAAGCCATGAAGCCATGTCCCTTCTGCTCTGAAGCAGCTTCTGGGCCTGGGATCCTCTGCCGACTTTCCTACCTGAGCTGGGGATGCCCAGCTCCCCCTACCACCCTCCCCCCACCCCAGCACAAACTTCCTTCCTCATCACGCTGCAGGGCCAGGACGACTCGGTCACCGCTCAGCTCTGCTCCCACCGGGACTCGTGTTTGCCCGCGCGGTGCTCGGTGGCTAACTCGCCCGATGATTCCCGCCCGTCCAGGCCGGGCCTGGGCTGCAGACGCCGGCTCGCAGGCGCGCCCCGCGGGCCG